TCGCTGCTGCTGTGCACCGCGCTGCTCACCGCGGGCTGCGCGCTGGGCCTGCAGCTGGGCCTGCGCCGGGGGGCCACGGATCGCGCGGTGCTCGCCTGGCTCTGCTCCGACGCCCTCGTGCACTGGGTGCTGGTGAGTGCGGGCGCGCTGCAAGGCTGGCACCCTCCCCTGAGGTTTCTGGGAAGGACGGCGTGGAGGCCCTGCGGCGCTCTGATGAGCCAGCTCCTCTCTTGTGGCTGCGCGTTAAGGGGACCTGAGGGGTACCTGAAGGTCTACCGGAGGCGGCCTTGGGAGGGGTGCTGCAAGTCTCAGAGCTCTAATATCTGAGTCCCAAAAGAGAACTCATTAATGCCACTGAATTGTACCTGTGAAGATTGTAGAAATGGAAAATTTGTGTTACCTATATGAGAGGTCTTTCAAAAATTCATAGGAAAATGGAATTAAAAGATCGGATTTTTTATGTCCCTTTGTATTTAATAAATAGTATTTATTGTGTAACATATAATAAATAGTACACAATAATAAATATATAATAAATATTCCTCTTGTATTTAATAAATAGTCTCCTTGCATGATGATAATAAGAATGGTGCCAACTTTTCCGTTTAAAAAAATCCAAAAATTGGTATATTGTGTTATGTGAGTTTGACTTTAAATAGGAAGAGTTGGCTTATTTAGTAACTTTTGCTTATTTTGTAAAATAAACTTGGCTTCTTTTGTAACCTGCATGTAAATGTGGAACTGAAGATAGATAATTGGAGTAGAATTTATCTTTTGAATGCCCTAGAGGGCATAAGGCCAAATTTTGCACAACATCTTGTGCCAAAGCAAACTGTGTACATAATAGTAATCACCACTTTATTGAGTACCCACAGTGTGCCACTCTTAGTGCTATGTAATTAAAATCTTTACAACACCCCACAAGTTATTCATTATTATCACCCCTATTCCATCAAGGAGCAAACCCCACATGTAGCAGGATGCTGAATTAGGTGAGTCCGGCTTCCAGGCTTATACTCTTCTGCTCTAGCAAACGGATGCTTCCCTAAAATTTCAACCCACTCTATCAATAGGGGAGTGTTAGGTGTTTTGTAGTCAGTTTTTTTTAAATCACTTTATTGGGGGCTCTTAGAACACTTATAACAATCTATGCATCCATTGTGTCAAGCACATTTTTTCAAAACACTTTTCTTTGTACTTGAGCCCTTGGTATCAGCTCCTCGTTTTTTTTTCCTCCCTTCCCCACTCTCCCACCCTCATAAACCCATGATAAATTATTATTATTCATATCTTGTACCATGCACTGTCTCCCTTCACCCGTTTCTGTTGTTTGTCACCTTGGGTGGGGGTGGGAGGGATTTTATGTCTATTTTTTTGGTCAGTTCCCCCTTTCTCCCCACCACCTTTCCCCTATGCTCCTCCCATTATTGTTCCTGAGGGTTCATCTGTCCTGGATTCTGTGTGCCAAGAGCTCTTTTTTTTTATTTTAATCATTTTATTAGGGGCTTAGACAACTCTTATCACAATCCATACATACATCAATTGTGTAAAGCACATTTGTACATTCATTGGCCTCATCATTCTCAAAACTTTTCCTCTCCACCCAAGCCCCTGGCATCAGCTCCTCATTTTTTGCCCTCCCACCCGCTCCCCCCTCCCTCATGA